TTTGGTGTAGAAGTCAAGACGGGTATACGTTTTCACGACGTATATTTTGTCGTGAAGCACTTATTTCGCGAAGAGTTTTTGCATAAAATTAGTCAGTTTTCACATGCTTGCTTCGCTGCGCCGGTGAAAAACGCATAAATTTCCCTTGTCCATCTTTTGTGATTATACATCACAGCTCTGGGTTACCAGTTTGCCAAGATATGGCGCTAAATGTGGTAAACGGCCAGTATCCGTCGTTTTTATTCTCTGTTTCGTTGTTAACGCACTGCAGACACTCATTAAACTGAAACGTATAGGGCGCATGGACTCCCCGACACGGACTAGGTACCCCCCACGTTTTTCGCACAGTTTGCACTTGATTTCGTAAACCACCTTTTTTGCGTGCAAGCCCCTGAAGCCCAGGCATGCATACATGACACTTTTTGCACCCCGGGCACTCAGGCTTCAAGATGAGATATTTAACTAGAGAGTTTTTTAGCTTCTTGTCGTTGCTCAAAGCTATGTGTATGCGCAGTTTTGATTTTCTAACGATATAGTTAAGTTTCCAGAACAAAGGTTCACCCATGTAAGATAGTGTTGAGTCAATTTATTAACCCAATTCAGCCTTCACGATGGAGCACACACCAAGCAGGCCGCAATTGGATACACTGGTGACGGTAGAGAGGAGGAACAGCCGCACAACATTAGAAACGGGGCTGTTATCAAACCCACCTACTCTGATATAATTCTGCGCTGCGAATCTGCGCATCCGACGTCCACTAAGCAATATGTCATTCGTATCCTGCTGCATAGGGCCCTAAACAACTTATCAAACGGTGAAAAAGAAGGAGCGTAAACAAAATATGGACTTCGCTGTTGGGCGATGGATATTCGCTACGACCGTTAGGTTCAATATTGGAAGAGGTCAAAACATCTAGAGCACGTGGGGGGATGGGTGGTAGGAAACGGAAACACACCCTGTCCACCGACGGATTTTTAACACTACCTTACCTAGATGAGCACTTGCTTTTGAGAATCGACATATCGTTAGAAAATCAAAAGTGCGCGTACACATAGCTTGGGAGAAGACGAAGCTCAAAAGGTCTGGGGTCAAAATTATCGCGAAGTCTAAGTGCCGAAGGGTCAGTAAGCGTCATTTATGCAAGTCTGGGTTTCAAGGGGCTCGCACGAAAAACAACGGGGCTCACAAAACTAAGTCTAAACTTCGCGGAAAACAGGGGAGGGATATCATCTATGTCTGAGAATCGTTGCGCCCTATTGGTTTAAGATATACTGAACATCTGCGAGGTGCCAAAAATAAATTAGGCTGAAATCCAGGTAGATACGGACCCTTCACCCCTTTTAGAGTTCAAAATCGCTACACACAAAATACGACCTCCGTCCGGCCTTTCTAACCCCTCAGGCTCGACCCAGTGCGGAGGGCCCCAAAAGATGGGGGTACGCGAGCGGGTTATCAATGACTTCCGACAGGAGCGTAAGGCCCAGGGAGGAGCAAGCAGCGCTAGCGTCCGCGCGTGGCGGCGCGCTCAGATGAACTGAGATGGTCCAATAAATGGCACATATATCCAAGTCCAGCTTAATAGACCCATGCTGAAATTGGGTCGGAGGCATTACTGGGGGCCCTAACTGGCACAGCACGCTTCCATTGCCTCAATGTGAACAATCGTCATAAGTTCTCATTCACAGCTCAAAATTCGGACTCAATCAGTGTTGAAGGGAGGGGAGAGGGGGGGGGGGGGGGCAGCGGCCACGTGCCAACAATTAAAGGGTCGGGTGGAGATCACAATGCCGCTGACTTGTATCGCTACGGAAACGTCACATGCGCTATCTTATAAAGAACGGTGCAATTCTGTTTTCTCTTCCAGTAAAACATTGCGACATATACAATTAAAGCGAAAAACACCAAACAGCCCGAAACAAAGTGGCTGAAATCCGATTAGTTTTGCTTCAAGGGAGGTTTTTCCAGGCGACGTGGTTCACATCACAGCCGGACAACCCGTAGGTAGCGGCTTAGCTGCGGACCCGGCTAAATACATGGAGCGTATGTCCATGTATTTATCCATAATAGTGACGGGGCGGCCTAATGTTCGTGCGTGTTGCTATTGTGACCACCAGATGACCGTATGATGAAATTGATAACGTCTGAACTGAACATAGCATGAACATTACGAATTTATTGACATGCCTATGAAATCTTCAGAAAAGCCGATGTAAGCGTAAAGGGCCACACGAAGGCTCATCGCTGCCAGGGGAATCGAACCCACGGCCGACTCGTTACGATTCCAGCATCATCCCACGGCTCCACACGTCCTCGCGTGACTGAATGCCGAGATTACTACGCAATGAAAAACTACGCCAGCGATGCCGTTGCGATTGGAGGTTACCGGCTGGCGGGCGGCGAAATTTGCGGCTGCCTTCGCTGTAGGATAACCAATTTTCGGCGTCAATAAGACTTTATCTCAACCTCATGGGTGTGGCTTTCATATTAGTGTGCTAACCACTCTAGCATATCTAAAGAATTTACTAATGGGTATCTTAATCGTTTCATTCGGTCGACCGCGGTAGACCTGGTGCAACATCATTCTGGAAATGGATGGCCTGAGCCCCTTGCGATATCCCATTCCCTTTCCAACATCTACAACAGATATTTTAGGGAGAGAGTTGTCCACGGTACACATTTTAAACAATTTTTCAAAAGTTGCTCCCTTGATTACGCACTGGTTACGCTCGGCGAAACCCCTTCCCTGAATGAAATCGATTTGTTTATTTTTAGTTTCGGTTTGATTTTTCGCCACGCACAAATTAATCCGGCATATTTCATACTTTCCATAGATGTCATTCAGTATCAGTCTGACAACAGATTTACAAGATGCTGGTCCATGTGCTACAGCCTCAGCTGTTCGTACCACATAGCTGCATACCAGTCTTCGAGGTATGTGGCTCAAAATGCTGGCCGTGTGACGAAAGTAAAAGCCTAAGTTCAACCTCTACTAGACACACGTCGAAGCTAAATACCTATAAAGTAAATAAGCGAGTCTGTGCATTGTTTATGTGAGTATCATTAAACACATACAGAAGTGCACCTTATCATCACGCAAGAGACACCGAATGCTCGGTGTGTACCTCGTAGTCACCTCGAAGTACTTGGTATCCCTGAGGTATTCATCTTCAAGAGAGGACGAGCACATATAGGGCTATGAATACCGTCATTATAATCGCTATTCACAATTATTCCGTTGCAGAAACAGACGCTATTGGTGAGTACTGAACGGCGGTAACTTACATAAATATTTTTGCTCAAAATGCTGACGAACCAGGAAAGAAAGGTCTGTCTTATTTTCAGAAAAATCGACGCATGGTAGCAAAAGAACTGCTTTCGCAACTCCAAGTATATTGTACAACGCTGTGGTGTTGAGCTCCAAATACGTACTTAGTTCATACGATGTCATTTACAAGGAATACACGTTGTGACATGTAATACATCACAGCACACTTACAGCAGCAAGAACTTTACTACCGGACAAGGCAGACAAGAGATGGCGGCATCAACCAACTGTTGCCTCTCGACCAAACGCCAACAGCCAGCGACAGCCGTCACCATCCAGACAAGAAATTAAAGCCCAGTCCCCACTCTCCAGTGCTCGTCCGTCTGCGTTCTCATCAGCCGTCACCGCCCAGGCGCCCGACCAATCGCCAGCCACGGAATGCTGTCTTCCCAAATATGGTTTAGTCGTCTTTAAAAGTTGACCAATCGACGTCGCTGGTATCACCAAAGGCGAGGCCGTCAATGGCTGCCGATGGACACAGACGCCACACGCAGACACATGGGAACCAGGTTTAGCGTGTCGAGGTTCCAAATGGCATATGTGATGCTTGTCTGTGAACCCATCAACTACTTCATCTGTTCTTCATTGCCATGTGCTACGAAAAAAGCTATGGTTACGCAACGCAAATGTGAAAGACTTTAGGCAAGTCAAAATTGGTAAAATAATCATTAAGGTCTTTTCAGGAGTGTTGTGCATGAGCACTTCACCGGTGCGTTTTAACATGTCACCTGAACCTAGAGCGCCCTCTTTTGTCTGGGCTCAAGTTATCGAGCTCTATTTACGAAGGTGGGACACAGCGGCCACCTGAAAGCTCAACAGGGGCACTGTATGTCCATCTGAAGTCTTCTGCTGGACCTGGTAAGACACTGGGGAAAGCGCTTGAGAACTACCGGTGTTGGATGATAGAGACGGGGCACTGTATCCACCAGATGACTGCGACGGGGCACTGTACCCACCAGAAGACAGTTGGGACGGGGCACTGTATCCACCAGAAGACAGTTGGGACGGGGCACTGTACCCACCAGAAGACGACTGAGACGGAGCACTGTATCCACCAGAAGACGACTGAGACGGCGCACTGTATCCACCAGAAGACAGTTTGGACGGGGCAATGTACCCACCAGAAGACGACTGAGACGGGGCACTGTATACACCAGAAGATGACTGGGACGGGGCACTGTATCCACCAGAAGATGGCTGGGACGTGGCACTGTATCCACTAGAAGACAGTTGCGACGGGGCACTGTATCCACCAGAAGACAGTTGGGACGGGGCACTGTATCCACCAGAAGACAGTTGGGACGGGGCACTGTATCCACCAGAAGATGGCTGGGACGGGGCGCTGTATCCACCAGAAGATCCCGGTGACAATTCCCCGCTCCCGCCAGAGGGCGGAATCCCCCAGCTCCCTCCGCCGGATCCAATGGGTCCGCCCCTTCCACCGCTGGACGGAGCTCCGAATCCAGCGGAACCTCCACCTGCACCGCTGGACGAAGCTCCGTATCCGCTGGAACCTCCAGCTCCGCCGCTGGACGGAGCTCCGTGTTCGCTGGAACCCCCAGCTCCACCGCTAGATGGAGCTCCGTATCCACTGGAACCGCCAGCTCCGCTGCTGGACAGAGGTTCATATCCGCCGGAACCTCCAGTTCCACCGCTGGACGGAGCTCCGTATCCGCTGGAACCTCCAGCTCCGCTGCTGGACGGAGGTCCATATCCGCTGGAACCTCCGGCTCCGCTGCTGGACGGAGCTCCGTATCCGCTGGAACTTCCAGCTCCGCCGCTAGACGGAGCTCGGTATCCGCTAGAACCTCCAGCTCCGCCGCTGGACGGAGCTCCGTATCCGCTGGAACCTCCAGCTCCGCCGCTTGACGGAGCTCCGTATCCGCTGACGCCTCCAGCTCCGCCGCTGGACGGAGCTCCGAATCCACTAGAACCTCCGACTCCGCCGCTGGACGGAGCTCCGTATCCGATGGAACCTCCAGCTCCGCCGCTGAACGAAGCTCCGTATCCACTAGAACCTCCAGCTCCGCTGCTGGACGGAGCTCCGTATCCGCTGGAGACTCCAGATCCGCCGCTGGACGGAGCTCCGTATCCGCTAGAACCTCCGGCTCCGCCGCTGAACGGAGCTCCGTATCTGCTAGAACCTCCAGCTCCGCCGCTGGACGGAGCTCCGTATCCGCTAGAAACTCCGGCTCCGCTGCTGGACGGAGCTCTGTATCCGCTGGAACCTTCAGCTCTGCCGCTGGACGGAACTCCGTATCTGCTGGAGCCTCCAGCTCCGCCGCTTGACGGAGCTCCGTATCCGCTGGAACCTCCAGCTTCGCCGCTGGACGGAGCTCCGTATCCGCTGGAGCCTCCAGCTCCGCCGCTGGACGGAGCTCCGTATCTACTAGAACCTCCGACTCCGCCGCTGGACGGAGCTCCGTATCCGCTGGAACCTCCAGCTCTGCCGCTGGACGGAGCTCCGTATCCACTGGAACTTCCAGCTCCACCGCTGGACAAAGCTCCGTATCCACTAGAACCTCCAGCTCCGCCGCTGGACGGAGCTCCGTATCCACTAGAACCTCCAGCTCCGCCGCTGGACGGAGCTCCGTATCCGCTGGAACCTCCAGCTCCACCGCTGGACGAAGCTCCGTATCCACTAGAACCTCCATCTCCGCTGCTGAACTGAGCTCCGTATCCGCTATAACCTCCAGGTCCACCGTTTGACGAAGCTCCGTATCCACTGAAACCTCTTTCCCCGCTGCTAGACGGAGCTCCGTATCCACTGGAACCTCCCCTTCCACTGCTGGACGAAGCTCCGTATCCGCTGGAACCTTCCCCTTCACCGCTCGACGAAGCTCCGTATCCGCCGGAACCTCCAGCTCCTCCGCTGGATGGAGCTCCGTATATGGTAGATCCTTTGCTTTCTCTGCTGGGCTGAGCTGAGTATCCGAAGGAGCTGCTTCCTCTACCGCTAGACAGAGAAGGGTATGATCCGGCCCCGCCTCCGCCGAAGCTGCCACCAGTGAGGCAAGGTGCCGCCAGCAGCAGCGCAACATATACCTGAAATGCGGTTTTGTCAAATGCGAACTGATAACGTTTTCTTAACGCTTTGGAAGTATGATTGGGAAGTTTGATGTGACTTCACTGAAGGCTTGCTGATGACTGGCATCAGCCTGATTGATAACAATACAGGTATATGGGTAGACAGCTGTGTTTTGCCCATAAGCTGTCATGCTGCCTAGGCTGGCATGAAAACTATGAATACATCAGTGCATCTGTCTTTAAAAAAGGCAAGTCCGGATTTATCCCATGATACTGATGACCTACCGCAAATATCATGCTGGAATGTTCTTCTACGGCAAAGTTTGTGAAAGCATACGGTCATCTGTCTTGAATGCATATCCCAATTTTAACAACACATTTGGTGACTTGCTCTGCCGGGGACGCCGAGTGTCTCCACTTGCTAGCCGCCTGCTTACCGTGATCTGCCTCATGTTGCTCCGGTAGCTGTGTGTGCCGTGTGCCGCCGGCCGGCCGGCTATATACCTCCGCCGCAGACCGCATGATAGTGCTGGGTGAGGGGAGGGCGGCGCCCACCTCGGCCCGGTCGGGTGGAAGCCGTTGGTGAGCCATTCGGCAACATTGAGTGACAAGTGCAAAAATACACACTGCGGAGAAAGGCGCCGCCACGCAGCCGCTTGTGCGGTAGCCGTAGCGGCTGTGAGATTGACAGTTTTGAGCGCCCAATAGGCATATCAATGGGTATGGTTGTCTTGGGTAGGAGTTATTAATGGGTATGAGTCCATACATAACGCCACAAAATTGGGACCAGCTTCTTAACCTTTTTACTGGTTACGCACGAGTTATGCTGTGTGAAACGGCCTTTCCTTAGTTGCGCAGTGTTAAGCGTACTGTCAATCAATGTCCGTTTTTCCCTCAAAATATCCCCGAAATTGCATTGGTTTCCGAACAGGCATTTAACATTTACTTAGCCGAATAGCATTTTGTTGGATGCTTTTGACCGAGTGCTATTTGCCGACGTCTCTTTTGCCTCCATGTCAATAAGGTAAAATGCTGAAAGTTCGAAAGCAACTTTTGGACAAGCCTTTTTGCCCACCTGTCAAACTGACGTATTGCCAGGTGTGAAGTTAATAGGCCGAAATCCATTTTTACTGAATGCTGATTTGCCGAAATGTTCTGTAGTCGAATGCCATTGTACCAAACTGGGTTTTGCTCGAATACTGATTAGCTAGCTTTTCTTTACCAGAACGTTTATGCGTCGAAATACTATCAATGGATTTTAGCCAAAATATCTTTACCTAACCCACCGGGCGGGGTTGTGTTGACTCACCCTGTTGCAGTTTTTCGAGCCTAGCTTCAAAACGATCGCTTGCAGCAAGACGAAATGGTATGTACCTTTCCAGCTATAAATTTGGCATCCTTTTAGTATCTACCAAGATCGGTTACCTAGGCCATGTCAAAGGGGTCAACTCTTCAAAACTTTGACGACACAGAGCTAATTTGTTGTGGGCTATTTGCTTTTGTCCAAACTTGTTATAATAATAAAACATGATACTATCTTAAGTCTGTATATTTCAGACATTCCGGAAAGGACAACGTCATTAACCGGAAGCCAGGCCAGTTTTTAATATTTTTCGTAAATAACGCAAATTTGTACGTAATTTTGTGTAGTTTTGATGTTTGTAAGTAAAGAAAAGGGTACTAGCTCATATGTGCAATCATCATATGCCCACAGAGGACATAGCCTTGGCCCAGCCCACGGACTGCTTTAATGGGTACCTTTGTGAAACACAGGCTTAGCTCAGCATAGGCAGCTTTGTTGCATAATTTTGGACGCACATTTTGCGTACTCTACTAAAAGCATGCTGTGATATCATTTCAATGCACAAATATGCTATAATAGGTTACGTAAAGAAATGCAACGTAATATCAGGGCATCTTAGGCCAATGACCTATGTTGCCAGTTTGCTGAGATGCTAGATGAACGAGTGTGACGAGAACGAGAGTGGGCGATTGAGTGAACGAATTCTTTTTTACTTGGTTGGTTTATAAATTTGACTTAAGTGGTTGTCAGATGACCTCTAGGTCAGCCTGAACTGGTATGTATATTTCTGGAATACTTTTGCCGCACAACTTCACCTTATAAAGAACACTTAGTCAGAAGCATATTGTAAAAAGGCATCGTTGTGGAAGGCTACTGGTAGACCGATTTTGAACGGTGACCTGATCTGACCTGACCGATGTGAGCGAACGAAATGATCCGCACACTCTCACAACAATTCTAATACTTATTTTCTTGCTCCCCTCCACTCCCCAATATCCGCCTTAGTGCGTTAATATAGGCTATCTAATATAGGCTATCTAATACTGCATCTATCGAAACGACTGTTTTTACCTTTCGCGACCTCCGATGATCCCACATTTCACCTTAGCTCACAAATTTAACATGCATTCTTCATGATTTGACAAGGCCCTCAACACGGCGTCTTTGTTTTTTTTTCTCATACAGCGTCTGGAGGTTGGAGATCGCAGGGGAAGATAACTTCCCCGACCGGACGCGGTTGTCTGAGCCCTGGCCGGAGCGCGGGTTAATCCTCGCCTTGAGGACGTTTTTTGTTCGCCGTCGCCCAACGATAGAAGTCTTGTCAACTCTCACCCCCCCCCCCCCCCCCCCCCACCGCGCCCCTCCTAAGATTCGAAAACCAAGCAGGCTAGAGGCACCGGAAACATGGCAATGGAAAACTCTTGTCAAAATGTTTCAGATAGGGCGCTTGATTTAAGACAAAAAGGCCTTCAGCTCCTGGTTTTCGGCATGGCGTATTCAGAGGTCTTAGTGTTAAATAACGATTATATTGACGGTATTCATTACCTCGAGCTCCTCTCATCCCCAAGAGCGGAAAGTGTTCAGAAACGTTCAGTAAAATATTGCACTTCCAGGTCCAGAAAATGGTACAACCTGTGCAAACAATGTCACTAAAAGACGTGCGAAAATATATTGGGGACTAATACAACCTCCCAACAGCCCGCATAGAGCCCATCGTTGAACGCTGCAAGGCTTTTTCTGGATTCACGTCTAATTTCTCAAGTACAATATTTTGCCGAATGATTCTGATCCCTTTCCACTCTTTAGGATAAGCGTAGCTCGAAATATTGTGTATCGTCAAAATGATTGGCTAGTTATATCACGTTGTTTAACCAGCATCTCCTGGTGCATCGAAGGTCACTAAGTCCACAAAAGAACTTTGAACTCTTTGTGTCAGGTGTGCCGAATAATGGCGAATGTGACTTTTGGCGGGTCATATCACGTCTACTCTTCTGTTATCGCAACTACTCAGTATGCTGCGACAGAATACGGAAAACGGCATGCAATAGCCCTTCATGAGAACGCTCCACATTTGGAGATATTAACGCCAACATCAGAGATGATGAAAAAGGCTAGCTTGTAACTACTGGCAACTTTTGGTAATTTATGATAAGTTGGCATAAGTTGAACAGACTGCTATAGAGAACACAAATTTTCTATTTATTAAATTTGCTCGTCAATGCGTTATTGTTTCATTGGGTCACCTGATCTTGCAAAACATTGATTGATAGTTGACGGCCGTTATGTATGGGAATCGTTCGCATCAACGACAGATGTGATTTTGTCCTCTTGAGCTCGACCCGCCACTCGACAATTATCTTTTTCTTGTCCTTGATCGCTTTATGGACAATAGAATGGTAGA